AAGATCTCAGTCAGGCCGAATGTTGGAACTGCAACGAAAGGGGTCATTACTCCAACGCTTGTCCTCAAATAAAAACGAACCAAACGGTGGCAGCGAATGCAGTCCTACCCAACCGAATTATATCCCCGGGAGAGCGAGTGGAGAATGTCTCCCAGGAGGGATCTTCCTCGTCTTCTGTTATGTGTGTGTTGACCGTGGATCCTGAACCAGTAATGGCAGCGAACCAATCCTTATAGAAGAATCAGAGGGGGAAGCAACCACAACGGGGCCACATACAAGAGTCCGGTGTTGGTCAGAGGATTCGAGAAACACGTTCGTTGGGGACATCAGAGATAAGTCGAGGAGTCCAGCGACTTACCGAGGAACAAGCTTCTCAGGTTGTGCGACCAGTAGATGTCTTTCAACCAGGGACCAGAATCAATGACACCCCATCCACTATGCGACGGAGTGCCACACCTGGACCTTCGAGTAGTCCGAGAGAATATCAGACACACGAACAAACGATTGACCCCACTGGCAATCATCCATCCCATGAAACGGTCACAGAGACGTATCGAAGGGAGAAGGTTCAAGTCGGAGCGGAACCCCCTAAGGTGCCCGGACCGATCCGAGTGATTGGTTCTGGGGAACGGTTCTCGATCGCCAAAGTGCTACGAGAGACATATGTGACGATTCCTCTTGCCCAGTTACTTGATCGCTCAGAAGCAACTCGGAAGGAATTTGCCTGGTTCCTACAAGATGCCACCCCACGATTCAGAGTCCGACGTGTTAAAATCCGCGATCCCGTTAGCTTTGTATCCGACAAGGTATATGAAGGACGCGACCGAACTAACCAATTGATGATCTGCGCTCCAGCGGTTACTTCTGAAGCCTTGGAGGATGACGGACGTTCGTCACCAATGTTTGTGGAAGCATGGATCGGGGATAAAAAGATACTTCGAACGCTGCTAGACGGTGGATCGCTAGTGGAGCTGATCTCCGAGAGAATGGCAAGTCAGATCAGTGCATGCACCTATGTGGATAATGGGAAGGAAATCAGTCTAGCAGACAACCATACCACGGTGCTAAAACGTTATATGCATCTACCGGTGAATGTGTCTGGTGTGAGAGCCTTTGTGAAGTCCTACATCATCAATGCGAACACATATGATCTGCTTCTTGGGGTTCGATGGATGAGGCGAGTCCGACACGCAGTGGACTATGGCGAGGGACAAGTAACAATTCAAGGTTCAAATGGGATCCCAGTGACATTGGAGACGGCGATGGCTCCAATAGAATGTCTTGACGAACTGCCAGTGATCTGCATTGATGAAGAGGGAGTGGATGACATCCTTCAACGAGTGATCGACGATACTGAGCCAGGAGGGTTTCTAAACGACCCAGATGACCACCCTCGATCGGATGGGGCAGTCGTTCGAACAATCCGAGGGGATTTCCCCGTTCAACAATGGGCGGGTGAATCAGAACTGCAAGAGAATCAACAACCAGTCATCTATCATTGTTACAACGGAGAAGAGAAACCCCCGAAAAATATAAAAAGAGTCCATTGGACAGAACATCTCGAATTTATTCCCGCCGACGACGGCGATGAGGACGTCGAATGCATTATATAGCCAACCCCGGGCAGTGCAGCAGATATCATAAATGCAGCTATCCTATATTAGGTGAATCAAGCAGATTATTGTTATCCACATCATCGTCATGAGGTGTTAGGAATTGCGCAAGGAGATGTCAAGAAGGCAGAGCGACTCTGGCTATCTCACTGCGAGAAGCCTTTCCGTCGACCTAGAAATTGGCGGGACGGAATCACGATGATGGTCGGAGACGCAGATAAGACGCGGACACCTTTTAGGATGAACGAAGTCGGGAGATTCCCTATAAATCGGCGACCGCAACGACGAGGACTAAGTGATGAGAACCAAAGTATCATCAATGATTGGTTTAATCAGACGGAACTGACTATTGGGGATATGGCTGATACTCCGCAACGACGAGATGCCGTTAAGCGATTGCTGTATACATGGCGTGATTGCTTCGTCCGGTCGGTGAGAGACATCAAAGCCACCGATCTCATCGAACATTCTATTGATCTGGCACCTGGAGCGAAACCTGTTAAAGCGAAAATGAAACGTTACTCACAACGGGAAAGAGAGTTCGCTGCCAAAGCTTTCCCGGACATGGGGAATCCTATATAGGATGGCGCCGTAGTGGGGTGCACAAACGAAATTCGTCCCAAAAAAGAATCCAGGGGATCTCCGAATTGTGCACAATTTCATCCCAATCAATAACTGGTCGATCGGGTGTTCGTATCCGGTGCATAGTCTGGATGAAGTAGTTGATGTGGTTCTGAAGGCCAAGTTCACTACCTTTTTCACTGCTGATGCCTCCTGCGGATACTGGGCAGTACCGATCAAACCAGGTGATGAATACAAAGCTGCAGTGATCACACCACACGGACAATACGCCTACCGTCGAATGGGTATGGGGTTAAAGAATGCCATGCATATATACGCACAGTTCACTGATATGGTTTTCGGACCTCTCCCGAGGGCGGAAGATCCAGATCATAGAGAAGTGGATCGCGAGGAGACAATTATTGGTGATTATGGAGATGCCAGTTTTAGCCCATTCGTGGATGATTATATAGGATCCGCTGTTGATTTTGACGCTCAGTTCACTTTTCTCCATGAGAAACATTTCCCTAGAGTGATTTTCGGGCCTGTGTATCTCGCAGAAAAGAAAGTTCGTGTTTTCGAGTCATCGTTGGAGGCTGTTGGGTTCGAAGGGAACAAGGATGGCATTCGTCCTTCTATCCGACAGATTCCAATGAACATGTATCTCCGACGAGGCAAACTGGGCCCAAAGATAGCCGAAATCAAACTCCATCGTCACTCCCAACTTCCACTCCTACAGATCCTCCAGTTATCATACTGTTAGATCATTCGGAACCTTCCCCAAGGCGTTCACCTCCGAAGAAAGTTCGTCGATCTAGACTTCTATCTAGCTCACCGGAGCAAGAGAGAAAACGTGCCCAGGAACGGGTAATGAGGTTAGATTTCTTCGACCTTCATTACAAGCTTCGCTTGATGGAAGGTTCATCAGCATTTCGCCTAGATGAGTCAGAAAGACAGGCTCTTCAGGAGGAATATCATCGGCGTCTGGATAATGGGGAAGGGTTTGGAGTGATCCGGTCAGAGCCAACGTCAAAGGATCAGAAAAGAATCGACACCGATGAAGCTCTGAACGCAATGTCTACTAGATGGATGCAGGTTCATCAAGAGTACATGGATGAAGGATCGGAGGCCTACAATGAATATCAGAAAGAAGCGATCGCCCGAGAATTCCAGGCACGACCCGACGCCGAGAAAGTCAATCCGGAGGATGAGTTTTCTGATTAAATGGCAATCGTCGAGTTCGACGATGTTTCCTAAAGGGGGAATAGTCCTTCTCATCATCATGTATGAAATAGCAATTAGGACGGAGTTAAATGACCGCCTCCCGGAGGCGGTCAGTATTGCCGTCGGGCCAGGACTATATATTCCTACCCTTCATGTTTTATTAGTTTCCCAAGAGAAGAAATCCATCCTAGGAGTTCAGTTTATCTCTTTCACCCATCAGTTTGCTTCAAGTCCTTTGGATTTTCCCTTCAGTCGGGAATCAGTAAAGTGGTCCATCTGGAAGGCATCAGGCTAGGATCTCTGGAGGGGAAGCTGACTCGCTGAGGGTGGGTCAGGTTTCGGCCTGACACTCGCTGTACACTCGCTGACTAATCAGGTGCTTACTTATCAGGCACGGCGGCCGATAAGACCGGGCGGACTCCAGGGCTTCATCCCACCTCTTGATGATCTTGTGTTCTCCCCGCTGAGGTCTCTGGGTGCAAGCCCAATATACAATGCTATCAACATGTCTGCTCGGTTGGACGATTCAAAGCGTCGCTCAAGAGTCCTCCCGAGGTCAAGGCTAGGATGCAGAACTTGCAAGTAGGTGATTGCTTCCAACTCCAATCTCTTTTATAGACAGAATTTGACATTGAGCGTGTGGTAGAATTCGACGAGTCAAGTGCGGGGAAGAAAAGCCTTGCTGTGTTCGATGTACCAGTACAGGTCGCAGGTGCGATTTCGAAGAGGTACAATCTTCCAGAATCTCAGTCATCGCCAATCCATTGTCTTTATCACCAAATTCTAACACGGTGTGGCAAGAGCGCCGTGCGTTTGCCTACTATTTTGAATGTGCTGCCTCTTCTATTGGTGGTGGATTGGATGTTTATTTCTGGCGCACTGTTGTCCCGCAGGTTTGCCGCTATGAACCAGCTGTCTGGGATGCCATCATCACTATCAGTGCGCTATTTGAGCGTCCCCAAAAATGCCCGGATCATGTGTTACAACGCTATGATGACAATATCTCTCTCACTAAAAGCCATCAAGACGCCTTGGGTTGGTACTCGCGTTCGGTCTCTGCTGTTCGCCAGCGCATCGAGCAGGGTAGCGTAGACGTCTTTGTGGGACTGATTAGTTGTGTGCTTTTCATCTGCATTGAGGCCATCCAGGGAAATGCAGACGGGGCAGTGCAGCTTTATTGTCAAGGCGTGCAGCTCATAAACGCTTTGCGTTCCCAAATAACATCTCTGGCCGCGGGTAAAGCTTCGTTATTGGAGGATACAATTATCCCAATCTTTATCCGTTTGGGCACATTCGCTCTCACCGTTGGTGGGACTCCTGTGACTGATTTACTACAAGACACTGAATATGCCTTGACGCAACAGTTTGACTCACTCAAGTCTGCTCGTGAGGCGATCGTGCTCTTAGCTATAGAGATCCCGCTCTTTGAAACCGCTTGTACCAAAGAATCACCCCAGGGTCATGTTTACCATATGCCCGATGAATTCAATACTAGGCGATTCAGTCTAGTGGCTAGGCTAAGGAACTGGCATATTGCCTTTCATAAATTGATGACAGTTCTTTGCGCCAAAGACATCTTATCGTTGCAACAGATCGGTACTAGTGCCCTTCTGTTGAGTTATCATGAAATGTTGTATATCATGCTCGAGACCTGCACATCGTTGTCACTGATGCAATTCGACGCTTACCTACCAAACTTCCAAAACATTGTTGAACAGTCTGCCATTGCACCGAAAGCCTCGGTGCGATCAGACGGCACCCAACCACCATTTACATTTGACCTTAACGTTGGTCTTCCGCTTTGGTTCACCAGTCTTCGCTGCCGTGAACCGCGTACCCGACGTGCGGCCCTGGCTCTACTTCGTCAAGCGCCCTTGGTGCAAGGGTTTTACCAATGCTCAATGTGGGCAGCCGTAGGCGAAACGATAATGGAGCTAGAAGAATCGTACGCAATGGCAAAAAAAGTAGCCTATCATTCACCCAATTCCGGTACACTGGATCTCAAAGATGGACCAATTCCTAGCTTCGAACTTGCCGCAAGCTCGTACTCTGCTCTTGCGGATATGGGATCGACAACACCAACAGCACTGTTTATCCCAGAGGAGGTGCGCATCGGACCCATTGCTGCTTTTCGGCCAATAGATGGCTTCCCCTCTGGAACCACAGAGGCAGACATCGCAAAGTGGAACCGGGGCCCAGACCAAGTCTTTCTACGGTATTCCCGGAGCGAGCGCGGCATGGGTGGCAATTCTTATCGGGTTGTGTACGAATACGTCCCTTTTGACTTCTGATCTTAGCATCTACCCTTTTAGATGTAAACTGGGTGTATCATTGATCGATTTGATGCAGAGAGTCTGCGCTTGCAAAGCAACTGGGCTTTAACATTCTCCGATATGCAGTGCAAAATCTTATTCCCATTTACTTCAACTAAGCTTCTCATTTAATTTAGTGCCTGGCCATCTATGCAGGGCACTTACTTTATTTCTGAATGTCTACGGGAAAATAGCAGAGAATTTGTGGTGACAAATTCCAGTGAACTAGCAATGCCACTACCATTTGTTTTCGGTTCTTTCTTTTGGCACCGAAATTATCGCGATGAAGGTGATTAGAATGACAATCATGTCCCAATAGTGATAATGGTTGTATGTGCCACTCAGAGCGTAACGGTTCCTTTGTGCGACCTTTGTTGAGATGTGCCTGTGGCTTTGAATTTCTGCATTTTGGCTTATTCTTAAACATCAATATGCACACTAGCCTTTTGGCAGGATCCGTTGCTCTATCTGTTCATTATCATAAGAGTCGCATTGTGCAGTAATCGTCCTGCCTAGTGTGTTACATACCTCCACCCTAGGAGACAACCGAAGAGAACAGGGAGATACTCTTTGTCGATATATATGGAGAGCTTGAGGCTCCACATGAGCTTCCACGACATCACTTCAGTCATCATGTTGCTCAATACGAGAAACTTCGCCAGGCAGAATATGACTGTGTCCAGCAATCCAGAATAACACATCCTTTTTACACCGTCGACAGAGAGTCCCTACTTCGCTCTTTATATACTTGCTGAGCTTGTCACCCCAACCTAAAGCAACCCACGATTTAGGAGACGGTCAGCTTGGAACAGTTGACGAGCCTAGGACTTCTGAGTGCTGACATTCTAAGGGCGTATTCTTAAGCACTTCCTAGTACAATCTTTTTCGCGAGATTTCTGGATTTGTGGCTTCAAAGCTAGGGAACCAGTATTTGGAAACCACCGAAACCACCGGGACAAGACTGAATAGTCAATTTTCTACGCAACATTTGTCTCCAACGTTCGATTTCAAATCATCCTTTCAATCAACGAAGTACGTGGCTTTAAATGGAAGCATCTCGACGTCACTGCCACGTAACTGAATGCTTCAAGTCTACCCGAAGACACAGTATACACTGTACAGCCAGCTGCCTTTGCATATTTAGATCTAGCCATCCATGAGAAGGAATTTTGTTTTCAACAAGCTTAATTTGACTGGGCGATTCAGTCACGCTCCGGAACAACTTACCTGACGAAAGAGTGAAGCAAACCGGTTTCAGATTACACTAGTCATTCCAACGTGATGCTACTGGTTTGGAGAAAGTCCAATCCGCGGATTAGTTGAGCCCTAGGCTACCCTAGCCTCCTCTCGCGACGTTCAACTTCAATCAGAAAACTTGAAACTGGTTAGTACTACGGATAGACTGCTTCGGGCCCTTTCCTTTTAAAGCGCGTTCGGCCGCCGTAATAGTCGATTTTATGTGCCGCGAAAAGTTGTCACCGGACTGCTATGAACCTAACTTGAACGTCTGGCTGCCTCTAATGCGTCTTCTGATGATGACCATCTGTCAAAAATGCTTTAAAAGAGCAAATCGACTTCTAGGATGGTTTAAAATTCAACGACTTGCCTATCACATTAGGCTCATCAGCATCGTAACCCAAACGTTCAATCAAATGCCGCGAGGGAAAAAAGCCTGTCTCGCCTTGTTCCTACGGTCGAAAACATGGCATATCCTACATACTTCTAGATGGCGTCGCTCTTAAATTCACGGCACGGTAGGATAGACCATAAAGAACTGATGCGACAAGCTAAGTGTTGTGAAAATTCCGTGAATCTCAAATTTTCTTTTGCGATAGAATTATCTGTTCTTTACCGCAAATAAGGAATCAACCCCTAGCCAAACAGTTCAAGAGCCTTAAGTTGATGGCAGGGCCATTCCTATAAGCTTGCCACTGCCACCTTTCTTCTCTTTTTTCTATCAAACCAAAATTTCTCACTTCTTCAAACCCTTCAGATTTTCTTGATTCTTCCATTTCCAACCTCGGCTCAGTTTTGTATCAAATCTGATCTCCTAAGATGAATAGGGTACCTATGATACACCAAGCAATTCTTTAGATAACTCTCACAAATCAATCGCTTCCACATTAGTGCTAATTTATGTGTGGTAATTTCCAGGAAGATCAAGAAGCGGAGTTGATTGAGCGAGATACGATGATGACTTGTCGTGAGGATCGTCTTCAAGAGGCCCTCCAGGTCAATATTAACGCTTCGAACGACACCCAAATCAAAATTCGTCTTTTACTGTTTCAGGATCTCACTGAGCAAGACAGCTGCCATGTCAACTCGGAAATTGAAAAGGCGGAGGCTTTCATGGAGGATTTGAAGGCCGAGCGCCTACAGTTTCAAGCTGATTGCGATCACGCTCGGGCTCAGCGCGAAGACATCGCTCGATTTCTTCATGAGCTGTAATTTTTCTCAAAAGGGGTTGAACAAGCATAAGGATCTAGTGTGAGGCCGCAAGTGGGGATCAGAAATTGGATTCCAGTCCTCCCACTTTTCGCCGAAGAAGACCCCTACGTTTTCACACCAACAATCAGAGAAAAGGACTGTGAGTTAGAAGAACTAGCAGTTGAGCGCATTCACATATTAATTATGACCAGACTCGCTCTCTAGCATGTCACGATCTGATAGACCGTATTCGGCATAGAAGCCATCACTGCAAAACTCCAGGTTCTTCTGCTGCTTGAAGACCAAAGCGGTTAGACAACCATTGATGGCTTTAAGAATGAAAATCATGTGGTCGTCACTATAAGCCCAACATATCCAGATGCTAGCAAAAAATGGGCTGCCTAAGTGTTGAGGTGAAAACTACGCAACTCTCAAATTCTATGTTCGTCACCGCTAGCAACGTAACGTGAGATCGAAAGACTCGGTCGTAAATTGGACAAAGTAGCCAAAACCATTCAAATACAAGAATCTTGGCTTATCTTCCTCTTCCATTTCTCAGCCCATGCCCGTTTCCAAGTTACTCAGCAAGTTTCGGATCAGATAACTCAATTACCTCCGATCTTAACCAAAAGCAGTTAAGAGGTGGGTCCGTGGCAGCGGCTAGAACGATGGTCGGTCGTGGTGGAAACCCAATCCGAGGTCGGACGATATCTTTCGTAGGAGGAATTAACCTAAATTTCCTGACGTGTCAGAAACATAAACAAAAGTCTCAGTTCGGATATTCCACTTAGCGTGATGATCCGGATCGAAAGCTGGGTGGAATCAATGAGACACATCAGGAATGAGTCCCGCTGTAAGATATACTTGCGATGAATATAATCTCTTATTGGCTATAATTCCTTCCGCCTTACATCGTGGTTCGGGAAACTGGTGTGTTGGATGGTGTGAAGTGTCATCCTTTTTTCCAGATTTGGGTTGCAGCAGACCCTCCGCGGGCTGATTTATGTTCATCTCGGGAAACACAGACACGGAAGAAACTCCGGTGTTCAGACTCCATCAGAGCGACCGAGCATGAGAAGCAGGGGATGGCCCTAAAGCTTTATAGAGCTCCGTGAGTTTACTATTAACTGTTTCATAAGATCTTCGGTGCGTTATCATGCTTTGAAAAACTCAAATCTAACAAGCCATCGGAGATGGAAAAAAGTGCAGGTTGATTGAGCTCCGATTGAATATCCTTTTGTTTATAAGATATCAGCATTGACCAGCTCAAGCCCCATAAATAGATGTTTAGCTCTAATCAAGAAGCAAAATATAAAACTATGCGGTACCATCAAGTGTTTCGGTTTGTTTTCTTCTTACCAGCAACGTTAGGAAAGCCAGTGCCTTCGTATACATCGAAAGAAGCTCAAGAGGTCCCGGAAATCTTTAGCAAGTTATTCAACACATCCACAAGTCGTGCCCCCTTCGACATGGGCATATACCAAGAGCTATCTCGGCTGGAAGCCAAGATATCAGATGTCGCAGCAGGCAAAATCAAGCCCGTCTCAACGATCGAAGAAAGCCTCTTGATCCATTCCTCAAGTTCACACAACAACAATCGAACAATCCTTCAATATGCCATCGACATAGTATCCCTCGGTCTAGTCCCAACCAATGTTATTGATATCCTCAACGGCATAACAAACCACGAAATAAACTCTATAGCCAACAACAACAGAAAAGACCCAAGTCCACGAATCCACCCAACAAGATCTTTCTGGGACGCACCCTACGACATCCCCGAAAAAGTCCTCCGCGGCGCAATCCACATTCCCTCAACATTCTCCTATGGGAAAAAACAACAAAATCCCCGTCCTCCTAGTCCCAGGAACCGCAGATCCAGCCGGCAGCACCTACTACTTCAACTGCTAAGCTGGTCGCAAGGTAGTTTAGACGTGCAATGGGCGCTGAAATACTGGCCGTCGACACGAGCAGCGGTAAGCGATTTCATGGCTGTAAGTGGTGATTTCCACGGGACGCGGCTTGCGACGCTGTGTGTACACGTTAAACCGTTTTGTTCGCCGGCTGTGCAACAGCAGGGGTATGACACGATGTTTATTCGGGCTCTGCGTGGTGAGGGTGGGGATTCGGCGTTCGTGCCAACGACGAGCGTGTACTCTGGGAGTGACTTTATCATTCAGCCGCAGAGTGGTGGGGAGGCTTCTGCGGCGCTGGGGGATATGCGCGGGGTTGGGGTGTCGAACGTGCAGGTCCAGGTTGCTTGTGCGGGGCGTGCTGCTGGGGGGCCATATTCGCATTCGGCTATGTTGGTTAATCCATTGGCTTATGCTTTGTTTGTTGATGCTTTGGTTCATGAAGGGCCTGGGCGGTTGGAGAGGATTGATCTTGATGCTGTTTGTGGGGAGTCGCTTGCACCTGGCTTGGATGTGGACGATGTTTTGGGGATGGAGGCTGTGTCGAATGTGGTTGGGGTGCTTGATGTGTTACTGTATGGGTACGATGGGACTCAAGAGCCACCACCACTTCGGGGCTATGTTCATCACTAGGCAAAATGGTCTACGTTGGGTGTTGTTAAGCGAAGGTGATGGACAACGGATGTGGGATCAAAGGCAATGCTAGATCCCGTATTCATCCAAGGGGAAATCTACAAGTCCAGATCGGATAGGGCTCTATGATACATGTACAAGGCCAAATGCTTCCACTGGGCATGATTGTGTGGATCTCTAGAACGAAACTCCAAGTCCGTAGAGATTATCACGGCAACAAAAATCGTATCAGGAAACCTCCCCGACGCCAGCCGGAAAGTGGCTACACAACATGGACTATGAATGTGAAAAAAACCAAACAAAAAAAGGTGGATATAAGACCCGGCAAGCAAACAAAACGATGTGCCGCAAACAACCCTGGAAATCGCAGTTCATCGTAATTCGGACACTTCATTACATTGCCAGCACTGGCCATTCGACACCGTCTCCAGGAAAATAGACATCGCGGCATAGGGTAAGTGGACAGAGGCATGGCATGCTAGGGAGCAACTCGAAATGGTCATCAAATTTAGTCAAGACAAAAAAACAACAAATGGAAAGCAGACGTTCACGTAGGCTTTTCACATCCAATGCGGCCCAAGAGAGCTTTTCGATCACTCGGATCGAAAGGAACACGACCGCGGCCCCGCGCGCGCACCGAGGCAGTGCCATTGGACCGCCGACGATCCAAGCCCGGGGCGTTTCCGGTTTCGAGTTGGTCAGTAGGGGCAATTTCCTTAGCAGTCAAGTGTGCTGGAACGTGGGATGCGGTCTGGTCTCCCACTTCAGTTTCGTATTCATCTTCCTCGTCACTACGGGTGTCTTCGGCGTTGCCACCACAAACCACACTGTAGGCGACACGGACAATCATGCTGAACCATACAATGGATAGTCCCTCGATAAACAACAGCAGGGACAAGAACATCCATTTGAGAGTGGGGTTGAAGCAGATGGGGTTGTCCAAGCTGAAGTACGGTCCGAGCATGTATGCAAAGGCATTCGGGGCCTCCCCTGAGATGAACTCGCTTGTCGAGCCGGTGTAGCAGCCATACGTGAGTTCGCGGGGAAGATCATAATAAACCGACCAGCACACTATGGGGTAGATGAGGTGTCGGGTAATGAACCATGTGCCCATGAAAAGGCCAAAGCCAACGTTGCAGGCTGATTCGAACTTGGAGTATTTGAGGATCTTCGCAGTCTGTGGAGGTATTAGTGGCTGTTTGGGAGCAATTGACAAATGGGAGTTGACGAACCGGTAACAAGAAGTCCACAATATCCATGAGACAGAGCACTACATTGGACACGTTGTACATGGCGTAGATGTAGGCAGAGCTCAGGAGAGCACTGGTGACAATGTGGTGGGAAAGCATCTGGACATGGTCCTTCCGTCTCTCTTCCACGTGGATCACGAAGATCTGCTGCACGAGGAATGCCAGCTCAACGAGAAGATACCACTTCATCAAGCCAGACAAAGGACGGACGGGCCACCGCGACCACATAGCGGCGAAATCGCCCCAGTAGTATGAGGTCTTCCAAAGGTACTGCAAAGAAGAAGCAGCGGTTAGTTTAAAATTCCCAGGTAGACATCTGTGGGGCAAACGCACTAATCCGACTCCCCATATGAATGAATAGTACATAGCTTGCCAGCCCTGCTCAGCGATACGAACGGACTGCTTGCGCTTTAAACCACAGGCGCGGGCCAATGGTTGCATGAACCATTCAATTGCGATAGCGCGGATGCCAGTAATTGCGATAGCAGCACTGGTGACGAAGTAGATATCGTCCCAGCCTTGGACGTAGGAATTCGAGGGTTCATTATAATAGGACAATTGGAAGAATGGCTGGGTATATGGGCGGAGGGAGGGATAGAGGTTATGAAGAGCCAGCAACATAGATAGGGTGGTCAAGGAGATTCCTATAGAGAAGCAAAGTGGTGTTAGCGTTACTAGTATTATCAGGATGTGGAGATTTCACATATGCCAAGGATGAAAATTAGGACCGCAGCCATTTTATCAAGTACAGCCTGTGCCCGCATCTCCGTAGAAATCCAAGGATTGGGGTGTTCATACCGATCTGGTTGGCAACCACCCATTCACGGAACGTGGTCTCCTTGGCCGGTCGTATTCCACTCGGAGAGGAAACGTAGGCATTGCGCCCCTTCAGCTCTGGTAAAGGCTGCGATGGCACAACGGTGTCTGCCATGGTGGAGAGAGCACCAATTGTGTGGAGAAGATTTGAAATTCCACGGAAGGCCGTGGGAGGGCGAGGGCCGGGAGTCGGTAGAGTCGAGAACCGGGAAGCCAAACTGATCAATGCGGAGATGGATGTGGGACCTGCCTCATCTGAGCCTTTAGTTACTTTCTAACTTGACTCGTTCAACCAGGAACGTGAAAAGCAACAGTGTGAAAGTGCAAGAGAATGATTTGTAGGAGAAAAGGAGGGAATAGAGGGGGAACGTGGTTCAACTTTCGTTTCATCTCTTCACGACGATCGTTGCTCCACTCACCGCCTCGTTAAATGTTGACTGTCGAGATCGATGATTGGATGTTCAAAGTGCGTGCACTAAGTTAAGATGTGTTTTAGCTCGATGTACGGAGTAGATCAAAAATTCGCGGTTGGATTCTATATACTTGGTAGTTGATGTCAACAGTTTACCATTTCCGGTCTATTTACACTGTCTTGGCACGTTGTGAGAAGGGATAATGATAGTTATATGTGCGATGTGTATTAAGAATTAACTGATTCACTCTAAACCCTCTGTAACATTTCGCACAAAATCGTTAGCATTGATCCCCAATTGGGCCAGATCAATACCACCCTGCCCAGCCATCACCCGTGACATCGCCCTAGCAACTTCTTCCTCCTCCCAAATATTGTTGAGGATTTGCTCCCCACCTCCTCCCGAGCCCTGAGTGGGATTCTCGGCAGTCACCATAGTCCGCCAATACAAATCATCTCGATTCTTCAGAGTCGAATCTCGAACTACCGCATTGCGAGTAACGCTCGTAGCATGGAGTTTCGTGTTTGCGCCCATGAGCGTCTGCACGGCCATCGACACTGCTTCGTCGACCTGCTCGACTGTAGAGGGCGGCTTGAAAAAGAACCGATTAGTTGCGGAGAGCCAGAGCACAACCGAGCAGATGACATCGCAGATCACGAAAGTCAGCGGTCGCAGGAGCGTGATGTGGTGGTAGATGCCGGAGGGCGGTGTCTGGCCCGCACGCACAGAGCGTGGCGCTCCCTGAATAGCGTCGTAGGTGGCCATGATGTAGATATCGATGGCTGTGAGGATAAGTCCGGCTAGGGTGAACTTTGTACGCCACCGGGAGGCCTCGTGCCCTGCGATGGGCGCTGATGTGGCCACGCCTAGGAGCAGCAGATGCCCGAGGTGTGGTAGCAGCAAGTGAAATGGGAGGTAATACATGAGGTATGTGTAGAGGTTGTCGAAGGAACAGTATTGGCACGAGACTAGGGCATCGGGGCCATATGTCAGGTACACCTTGCGGGCACCGAGAGAGGTGAACTTGGACTGAAGGAGGTTGTCGGCTTCGGTGAGGAGGTTATCTGGACGAAGTCGGGCGAGACGGTTGAAGATGACATCGGTAGGGGTATTTAGACGAGAGCGGGTATGAGAGAAGATGTTGGGTTCGGGCGCGTGGGGGTTGAAAGGTAGACTTAGAAGTAGAAAGAAGACGATGCCACCGAACAAGATGTTCAGCGCGCGAGCGGGCGCGGCAGGGAGAGGACGTGGCGGTGGCCGGCTTGCGATGGATACACGGAGACTTCGATAAGCGGTAATTAGGCGGGGGAGTAGGACTGGGCCGAAAAATATGAGGAGTGATTTGACGCTATTCACAGTCAGGATAGGTTGAGGATGTGTAGAGCTGCAATACTTACGTTTCCCAGGAGATTGAGATTGTAGCCATATTCGCTAAGATGTGAATCTCACTTCATCGGAAGCTCGAACAGCTTGAATCGATTTTCGACGAAAGAGAGGTGTTAGACTGTTTGAATGTCCTACATATGTAGCTTCATTGAAGTCGGGGCCAGGCGTGGGTCCCGTGGAAACTGCCCTCTCACCCACCAAGACCCAACCTATGTTGTACTTGCCCTTCGAATCAACCCTCGAGCTACTGTAATAAAAACTGCATCCTCTATGAATGATCCAACTCAAAAGGACTATGTCTCAATTAAATCAGTTAAGCACTAAGAAGCCAAAACGAAATACATCCAAGGGGAATAAACCAGCGCCGAGTGCGCCCATCGCAATAACGCAAGATTTCTGATTCAGTAAACGCGAGTCTTTCTTTTCCTTCAAAGCAACGCGATTTTCGACCATGTTGGCCAGTCAACCAGCTCAAACCATGTGACCCGAGTACATAGCAGGGTGGTGTGCGAGGTCGGGAGGATGGATCTCCGCAGAGTCCCGAGAGTACTTGGAGGAAGCAGTATCATTTTCCTCTACGAGGGTCGGGTTCATGGGCTTGGAGATCTTTAGTGGGAACCGGCCGGTGAGGCGTTTGGTGGCACGCGTGACGGGGTTCTGGCGAGTGTAAGTGGGCAGGGTTTCCTCGCGCTTCACGCTCAAATGGAGGGTGCGGTGGCTGCTGGTTCGGCTCATTGCCTTTTGCGGTGCGACGGCGCCATCTACCCGCACTTGGCGGGCACTGACGCCGGACTCGGGGTCGCTGAAGATGTAGCTCTATTGGAGAAAACGGGTGAGCATTGGGTCAAGGATAAGGGTTGGAAGTTTTTCGATCTCGATACTTACTGCCAGAACATTCACCACGCTAACTATCATTGCCAGCACGCCAGCGGAGATGATAATTCGCCAGAAAGTCAGTCCGATAGTTTTCTGGGTCATGGCCTTGGTGTTCAGGTTGCCCAGTGTCGCTACACCGAGGATCATCATGATCCCGCCGAGAGAGTAGAAGCTAGACTCTTGTCCGAACATCGGCCAATGGTTGTCGAAATAATCCTGGAGTACTGGCAGCTCCGAGATGATCATGAAGACTGCTAACGTTAGCACTTATATCACAAACATGGAAGGAAGTGTGATACTTACGGCTGACCAGAGCAACCACGGCATGGGTCACAGCCTCGAAGAAAAAGAAGCTGTTCAGCATGTTGATTTTGGCCAGTAGGACTGCACAAGCAGCTACAAGGTCCATGAAAGTGATAATATTGAGAACGCGAATGACGTTCAGGATCACGTACCCTGGACCAGCCAGGGATTTGCGCAAGCGAGTCATCATGATTGAGGCACAGGCCCGTTTGTGCACCTGTCAAGAATTGTAGATACTCGCTTTCGAGGATGTATAGAGGATCACCTGTTGACAGACTTGGGGGTAGGGTTGAGATTAAATGAGGGAAGAAAGCGACTGTCCAGCAGGAAGCTTGATAATCCAGGAAAGAGTGAAACAATGCGATGGGACGAGATCAACTCGACGGCAAGAAACGAAAAAAGAAAGACAAAGAACAAAAAATGATGAATGGGGCGACAAGGAAAAATGACATCTATGGAAGAATGGCTATTGAAGTGCCGCAACCTAGATGTGTGCTCCTGACAAAGGCGATATAGTACTTTGTCTATGAATAGACTTGAAACGTCAAGGTTGACCGCAAAAACGGTATGTATTCAAAGTCCGAGTGAAAGACATCGGCAGGATTCTTCGCCCCATCTTTGCAGTCTTTCCAGATGCAGAGGCAGACTGCAGGAAGTGTTTCATTGATACGATCTATGCAATGAATCAAGACCTTTAAGCGCAGAGATCGGGGTTGTAGCCGGAACAAGCCTACTTACCTACGACCCCGCCATTGGGAACTCAGCTGGAGCCCGATGGAATCAAATGGCTGGTGCTTAGTGTGGAGGATATTCGACCTTGATGAAACTAGTGAGCGGCTACAAGTCGCCCTTCTTTCCCCCGTGTTCCCCGTGTTTCATTTCTGCTTCAAACATTCCTTATCGCCTGTTGAGCAAAGTTCAAAGGATTTTAGATAATTTGCGTATTAATGCAGATCTGGCAAGATATTTGAAGGGCAGAATGCATTGTATGTAAATGGGCGTGGAGGCGAAGCTCCAGGGTACACTAGACAGGCAGAGTTGAAACAAGGTAAGAATATAGCCCAATCATAGCCAGCACCTACTTGCCGATCAGATGAGTCGGAATTGTATAAAAAAAGAGATCCTCCAATGATTCAATCAAGAATCAAGAATATCGAGAGGAAGTATACACTGAATCACTCCGTAGATGAGTGGAACCCCTGTGATTCGCCCGATAGCAGCCGACCCCTCCAAACTTTTTTCTTTTCACTCTCTCTAAACATTTCGCGCCGCCAACTACTTTTTTAACTCTTGCGACATTACTATAAGGTACAACATGACACGGGGTAACCAACGTGACAATGATCGGGCCAAGGCTTTAAAGAAGGCGGGCAACAC